TATCTATAACACCGCACAAGCCGCTACGGCGGGGGCGGCGGCGGCGGCGGGGGGGGGGGGGGGCTACGATGTACGACGCCACGGCACCGTAGCAAGAGAATCACAAGGAATTTATGTGTTTTCCGTAATCTCTATTCCCAGCTATAGAAACTAAGATTCAGAAATTACTATGTATTTACAACAGCGATACGATTAGTTTGTTAGTCTTTTGCATGCGAATGTGATTAATTAATTGACATAGTCATACCATTACGTAATCGTTAAATATATTCCTAGATTCATGAGATCTTATGTAGTAATAAAATACAAAGAGAAAGCCTCAATTTACGCACCATAAAGAAATTCGATAGATATTCAAAATGTTTTTACTCGACAAGAGAACTCCAACGAGGTAATTGGGATACAAGGGGCCCGTAAAATGAGTAAGTGAATCCTATTTAGCCGCTCGCTTTGCTCACTGAAAACAATGGAATAATTTCGTTAGGTACGGGGGGGGGGGGAGCGGGGGGGAGCTTAGGCTCGATGAGAAATAAACAGACTTTGCTTCCTAAATTCAATCTTCAAAAAATAATACTTCACCGACAACAGGTTTACAACAAATAAGAGAAGACTTACAAAGAAGATTCAGAATTCTATACATAAAACGTGGGAATATCGATATTTTGCGGAAACAAGATTTATTTAGTCTGTCAAAAAAATAACTAAATATATCAATTACTTTTGGTCTGTATTTTAACCGAGGTTATGTTTTTCTCGCGTATCTTGTATGTATGTAATATTTTTTATTAGCTCCCATCTTCAGAACCAATTTGCATAATTGATATATTATTAGGATCGTCTTAGCAGCCTAAGTGTTCTTAGATAGGTGACGTAAAAAAAATATGGAGACTGTGCGACGCCATTGTACTTAATGATACAATATGGGTATAAAATTAAACTTTTGGGATTTAAAAAGGTATATCATGGTTATCATTACTGTAATACTAATGAAAATAATACAATGAGAAGGTTTAAAAATATCTTCTATGTTCTTTTACTTTCTTAAACAATCTGGTAATTTGGCTTACAAAAAGACGAGAAAAATTATAATTAAAAAATCTAAAACCCCGCCTGCGTGAAAAACAATTAATTAAAAAATCTGGAACAATATATAAATCTGTTGATCTTCTTCTAGTTTTCTCAGTTAGGGCAAGGGAAAGAGTGGGTCAAATGGAAACTTCTTATAATAGACAATATATGTGTCTTTCGCTGGTGCTGCTACACAGAGAGAGATACGTAACTGAGTGTGATTTACAAACGATATTTAGTCCGAATGTGCACTAGCCAGTAAAATGTACAAGCTATGTGTTTGTTTGATAGGAAAGTATTGCAAAAACGTCAGATTTCTGTTTTGATTGCTTAAGATAAGTAAGAACTAAGCCTATTTGCTTTGAGAGTAAATTTGTATTACAAATCGAGTGTAAAGATTGATACAATAACTAAAGTAAAACATTCATGAAGTTATAGATATGGTAATGTAATTATATTCGTAATATAGCGTACAAGCAAGATGGAAATTTGAAGTTGAGAGCAAAATGGGAGGGTAACAAAATTAAAGTTAAAACAATGAACATAAATGTTACTGTAAAAATAAAAGAACAAAGTTAAGGGAGGGGAAAACAGAAAATAACAGAGAAAGGTAAATAAATAGTTATTTCTCAGTTTTCCGAAGAAAAATACGATAAATCAGGTGTAGCAGATTGCTCACGATGTCTGTCGTATTATAAATAAGTACGTAAGCTAGAAAATAGTTGAATTTTATGTATTAATTGCTAAACTCAAATTTGTTTTATATTGTTCAAATTGCCTTTAAGCTTTTTATTTTCTCAGGGTTTCACTTTACGAGCTATAACTCATTTTTGACTAGAATATAGTTATAGTTATTTAAAAAGAAAATTAACTAACGTTCAAGCACAATTTAAATTGAGTCAAGTGCATTTCTATTTATTACTACACAAAGTTGGCCCCTCAATTCCTGCTTTCCCCTAGTTGTTTTTAACTTGTTTTTCATTTTGTTTTATTTTTAATTATAATTTTGTATCAATCTCTTCTATATCATTATTATTTTAATAATGTCTCATCGCAAAGGTCTGCAGGAATAGAAGAATAGGCAATTCTTCAGGCTTTAGACATTTGACAGATTTGTATAACCTGGCGTGGTGTACTGATGTTATAAATAAATTCAAATTCAATATAATATAACTTATTTTAATTGTATATACTATACTGATATTATCAAGAGGAAAGATTTGCTTGTTTGTTTGTATGCATCGAATAGGCTTCGAAACTACTGGACCGATTTTAAAAATTCCTTCAACAACGGGTAGCTACATCATACGGAGTTGACATAGGCTATAATGTACGCATGTGATGTCGCGGTAAACAGGTAGTTTCTGATGAATTCGTTGATTGATTATATATATCTGATTAATGAACAGCCTTATTTATGTACTCAGTACTCTGGTACGTTAATATCAACTTTTTTTGATAATAAAAATACCTCTGTAGCCTCAACTAGTTACCGTGTTAGGGACAAAACCTGTCTTCGGTCGCAATGTGTTTGTAATGTACTTACTTTGGGTTCGATGTAATGTTGTTATCTCACCTAAAGCTAATGACGATATACATATCGGTACCGGCCTGTTGGCACGCACACATAGCCGAGAACAGCTGCAGGTGTACACATACATAAGTGTCGCTTCTTTTTACGTAGCTTATATTTTCCTTGGTCGTGATTATCTCGATCTCTAGTGTGAAGGGCAGGTTTATTGTTTTAATATAATATGTTACTTGGCTATTGGTAATTGCCATTATGTATTGTAGAATTATATTTACCCCCTCTTGTGCATGTCTTGTAATTTGATTAACAGCAAGATAAATGCGTCCTACATTACGAGCTCTCACAACAATTTATAAAAGCAGTGATATTATCAACTTACCTCATGTTTTGTCTTTCTTTCTAACTGTTGCTCTCATACCTTTTTTATCAATCTTCTGTCCATTGTTTAACTATTCAGAGCTCCGGAGTGTGCAGTATGTTCATTACCAAAGTGTCATCTGACGTGAAGTTTGATCGAGGGTCGTTTGGCGTGGGCCGGGCCCAGTCATGGCATGCTTTTATGGCTTTAAAAATGCACGAAGATCCCAGTCCCTCCGCTTATTCAATTATGCAATGAAAATTTGAAACCTTTAACGCATTTTGTGACGTGACGCAGGCCCTCGGGAAAGATCGCCGATCAAAATCACTCTTGGAATTTTTATTGGCAAAACAATTTTATGTGATTAGGTCGAACCTTGATTGAAAAGGAAACGTTTATTACTACAATTTTGCGTTTCACAATACATTAAAGAAATGTAGCATTTTTTACGTTAAAGTATTCTTTTCAGGTTTTTTAATTGCAAAAATTTCGGGTACTGAGGGGTGGTACCTTAACAAAAAATTACTAATGACAAATTGATTTGAAACTTTTATAATTATATCATTGGACTTTCGCAGGGTAACATGATTCTATTGAATACAATCAGCATATATGTATAGTTGGGGAATAAAGAAAGTTCAATAAATTGTGTTATTGTCATTGCAGGAAAAATATAAAGCTATCTTATTTAAAGAATATTATTTATATGAATGGGTTCTCTATTCTATTTTTAATGTATTCCATTGAGATATATTAAACATTACACTGACCCACTGAATTTCGTATTGCTTTGAAAGGAAAAAGAAAATGTCATTGTTACTATATAACTATGATGCTTGTAAATTTTTCATGTTTTCTCCGCACAAGAACGTTCCTCGGACTTATATTTAAAAAAATATTGCGGTATTTGTACTTTTCACAGTAGTTACGGTCGCACATTCCATACATACCTTGAAAAAAAAAATTCATTACAGAATATTATAATCTATTGTATCCTCAACTGTATTGTAACAACGCAATATGTAAACAATGAAATTGACCTATTTAAAGACTGCAAGGTATTGCCAATACATATACAATGTAAAACGATATATATAATGGTATGTTTATAAACTATTCTCAGTATAGTCTCAATAGGATAAAGATTATTTTTACTGACGCAAAAAAAATACTTGGCACTATGGACAAACCTTAGTGGTTTTTATAACGTCATCTAAACAATAACATTGTATATAAATGATCCAAACAATTGCTAAATAAAAATAAAAAAGTATTGCGGTTGCACTTTTAAAGTTGATTTAATTTAAAGATTCACATAAACGTATGTATTAAAATACCTGACGAGATGCCTCCCGGGCACAGAGACGAAGCAGAAATAAACTTGACAAGGGTAATAATTTAGAAGATGCGAAATCAATTGTTATTCTCGATTGTCAAATGAGCCAATTAAGGCACGTTAAGATTAATGCGAGCGGAGGCGGGAGCGGGTGCGTGAGCGGAGGCGGGAGCGGCGGCGACGCCTCAGGGTTGCCGCTACTCGGCGGCATTTATCGCCTGCTACCTTGATTACTCGCGCCATAACTCAAAATCTGCCGAACTAAGCGATTCTCACCGCGTTTTGGCAACGCAGCCAGTCGTAACGATGCCTTTAATACTTATTTATATGACGTACGTTAAGATCGTATCGTAACGAATAACGACATTTGAAATTAAATAAAATATTCAGGTAACGTATTAGACTAACTAGGGAGGATATTATATAATTTCAAGTTATTTTAATCTGTTCTATGAACTATATGACATGTAAACCTCTGCAGTAGCTCGTAGAATTTAATTTATCTCTATGTATTTTTTGCAGACCTAATGATAAAAAACTTAAGTAAATATGTGTTACATTCTTCATCCTTTCATCCAGTTGAAGAGGAAGAAATAAAACAGCAGTCTGAAAACTCATTTGTTTAATAAATAGGACTAGTTCAGTCAGATCAGGACAACAAAGGGATCACTTATAAAGTTACAACACATGAATTATGTACAGAGGGGTCAGTCGCGGGCGGCGTTCACAGCGCTCACAGCGCTCGGACCGCTCGGACCGCTCGGATCGCTCGGTTTGCTCACAGCACTTCCTGGCGCGGCTGCAGCGGCGCACCCGTGGCGAAGTACCTGCAATATGTGACAAGTCAACATCTCCGCTCACAAACAATAACTAGTATTCATTTGCTTTGGTATTTTTGCAGGCACAGGTACCAAGTTATCACAGAGCATATCTCTAAATGAGTTTAGGAATTCGCAAGTTTACTTCAAATATCAAACGAGTGTTTTTGAAATTTTAATTCCTTGTATCTATACTTTATGACGATTATTTTGTACGCGAATATTAATTGGTAAAGTTTCGATATTATATCAACGAACTGAAATTTGATACAAATAATAATAAATAAATGTTGTTATATATTGGTCATACTCTCTTTAGTAACAAAAGCTGGATTTGCAGCCAATGACGAGATCATGTCTATACTACAGCGAAATTCGATGAAAAATGTTTACTAACAAAGCATTGCTTAGCAACCAGTGGCAGGCAGATATTAATAACCTTTCTAAACTAAACAACATTATATTTTTTTTTCGATTTAGAGATATTATTTATCAAATATTCTAAACAATGTAGTAGTGTTTTGAAAATTACCTAATGTATCTTTGTAAATAAATGTGCAATGTCTCAAGATTACAAGGAACATGTCACGTGTAAACATAAACCAGTGAAAAACCATTTGTTTTATTTATAAATGTATAAATACTTCGTAAACTTGCTATTTATAAATAATACAATCAATTCATCATGCTATAAATGCTATAGACACATTATAAAAATACTTTTTGTCGTTTTAAACAATAAAAAGAAATACCGTATTTTCGCATGGGGTCAAATGTAATCAATCTAAAGCAGGTATGGGCAACCTTGAACATGTTGTGGGCCAAACTTTAGTGTGCAAAATACGTTCGCGGGCTGCGTTTAAAAGTAGTACATTTTAACACTACTTTAATTTTTTGCGATAGATATCAGACATGAAATAATACGACAATGTTATTATAAATTAGGTTTTTCAAAATGTCTTGCGGGCCGGCTGTTGCCCACCGTGGATCTAAAGGAACACGTTTCATAATAATTGACAACTTTATTTGGAAAGTTAGTTTAAAACTGCAAACATGTTACTAATATCTGAACTCTATAAGTCACAGAGCTGACAAGTAAAAATAATTTCAGCTTTATTACTATTTTCCTTCTTTGTCAAAATGTTTTGATTTTTAAAGTAGACTCGCGCTTATGCTCTGCCTCTATAGTTGAAACCGGACTCTACAAACGCTCTCAACTTCAATATTGATAATTTCGTAATTCATAATATTTAAAGTCAAGAACGGTTGTGAAGGTTCGGTTAAGCTTCTCGTATTCATCCTCGGCATGCGGCATGCGGTTATCGATTGTCATATTAATATCGGCATTAATTTCGAGTTGAAATTAATAATAGGTAAGTTCAATTTCCGAGTGGCATGATATGGTACGGGAGAGGCAACCGCTCGATACGTTACGTCATGCAACTAGAGGCGTCTGCCTAGTGGGAGTGGAGCTGCAAGCCATGCTCGGGCGGGAGCGGGTACTAGTTCGCACCAGTACTATATATTACCGAAACTAGTGATCCTTCCGGATCTATCATCGTCTTCTTAGAAACGGTGGCTTTATCGGAAACAGATAAAAATCTCTTTAAACAAATTATTTGGTAGTTAGAAGTCAGATTGCAACATTAACTTTGACTCTAAAATTTATTTAAATCGTATTGTTCTCTTCTGTAATTATAAAACAAATATATCTTTATTCCTCATATCGTCATGTCAAACTCTAAAAGTGTAGAAACATTGAACAAAATGACATGAATATGACAGTAAATTTTCGCTGTAAAATATTAATAAAAAGACTGACATTTTTATCAGAAAATACTCGTACAACAATTTTGTGTTTCTAACATAATAAATCAATTTGTGTGGCATTGGAGGTCCAATAATAACTACATGAAGATAGTAACCTAACTGTGGGCGCGGAGGAGTGTCGCGAGTGGTCCCGCCTGCGCCTGCCGCGCTGTTGTCGTCCTCGCTCGGCACGCTCGCGCTCGCCGCGTTCGCTCCGCTCGCTTCGGTCGCCCGTACCCCCCCTGCCCACTCGCGAGGCGCACGCTATCCGCCCGCTCGCGCTATATGATGTATCCTCTGCACTAGACTCTACCGCTGGCAGCATAATTATATAGCAAATTAATCATGATGATGACGATGGATACGTATTATGGTGCGACAGAAATGTAGTAATAACGTAGATTGTAACGGAAATGGTACCTGACAGTCTGGAGGCGGGCATCCGGTACAGTTCGGCGGCGCACGCGGCGCACGGCGACCCGCTCGACTCGGAGTCACTGTCGCGCGCTCGGCCATAATCTAAAGTATTGAAATAAGTACTTTAGTCTAATATTGGTTGGGAAAAAATTTGATCATAAATCTTAATTACTTAAGTAAAAATTTAACACAAATTTAAACGACTTAAATAAAAGGAAGAGGTTTTTATTGTGCGTGTTTGCTACGCGATTACTCCGCTAATTATAAATCGATTTTCAAGATATTTTTTAATGAGCCGAGGTGGTCTCATTTAAATTTTATCTTAATCGAATCAGTATGTTTATTTTTATAACAAAACAAAATATGCTTTTCATCAGATATCACCCAAATATTTTGATGACATGTTTATATCGCCAAAAAAAAACAAAAGATGGTGTACTTTCCATTGCTCAAAATCCGAAAGCAGCAATTTGTACGTTCAACGGATATATATACTTTGTATCCAAGTAGGTACCTAGGTTCACCGATTTCTTCTGGTTACGTCAGCAAATAAATAAAAAATTAGGACTTTCGTTACGTAAATATAATTCTTTTATATAGATATTGAATATTTTAGTGATACCTATACAAAATATTTATATATCGTACCTGTATGAGTATTACTAAAAATAATAGAATAAAAACGGTTATTTTCCTTAAGAAACATTGAACTTGGCGGTTATTATTTAAAAAACTAAAGAAAATCTTTTAGTGAAATAAAGAAACTCATAAATAAACTCTTTGCATATGCCTTGAGCAGTCGTGTAAAAAGTATTGTTCGACGACGTATATATATATTATCGAAGAAAATAAGATCGCGTATTTAACTTTCCCGTGTAACAAAAATGTAAGGTCGTAATTAAGTGTAAGAAATAAAACTGACACCTTTACCATAATACGGTTTATCAAGGTTATTTATTCGCTTTAAAAATATCCTTACCAAGTGAGACTTTCAGTTAATTTTTGTATTACAGCAGTCATTTTCGTATGATAGAGATATTCAGTGTACGCAATAACTCTAATGGAATATTGATTTGTACATTACGTCCGGTAACGGACATAAACGCCTATTTTGATAAAGGAAAATTGTGCTCAGCGTCGTTATTTCTTAGCTTATTATTGCCAAGTCACCAGTGATTATGTGGTACGTGTACGGGCCCTCACGCAGCCGGCCGGCCGACGCGACGCCGCGTCCGGTCACCGTTGTCAGGCGTCCGGATAAAACTAGACGTATCTAATTATAATATTTTGATCAATTTTGCAATAATAATGCTATACTGAAAAATGTTCTTAATGAAAATGTCCCTGGTACGGTGAAATAGGTCATGGTTTCGAGTCCCATCTCTGAGTACCAGGGACAATATTGATTTTGTTTAGCATATTTAATTAGACATATCTAGTCACGTTTATGATTGCATTGCGGCCTATCAGACGCCGTCTGGTCCATATGGCGCTTTTTACATAAGGCTTCATTAAAAAAATTGTGTATTTTATGATAAGTGATGAATATGTATGGCAAATGATAACATAGCTATGTTTTATAGAGATAAGTAGCTGTTTTCCCTGTGAATTCGCACGCGTAAATTATGTTAACCCCGTATGACGCGCCTACACCCGTAGGTGCAAGAAATTTTAAAATCGATATAGTATTTCTGGAGCCTTTTCAATGCAAACAAACAAATAATTAAATCTTCCCTCTTAATAATATTAGTATAGAAAAAAATATGTGTTATACCAAAATTATAAAATTTAAGTCCCGAAATTTTATTCAAATGTCCGGCTAATCGTACGTAATTGACTGGACGGTTGCTGCGGTCCGGTCCGACGTGAGGGGCTGTACATCCTCCGCTAGCCCCCTCCCCCTTGTGAACCCTGCGCATCGCACGGGGTCGAGGAGCTCGCTCGAGTTGCACACAGCGGAAATTGCAAACTCGCTCAATGGAACCAGAGATAATGCCTCTACAGCCAACTATTATTATTTTATGGGGTTTTTAATATCCTGAACTCTGTCCGGTGCATACAGCTGTGACTGCATTACTGTATTTTAACTTTGCAGATAAAACTGAATTTGCTATTGAAAATGTTAATAGTTAGTTATGATCCTTTGCCGTTTATTTACGAATGACATACTTTCCATCACTTAATAGCCTTTATTAATTTGTTAGTATATATTAGTATATATATTAGTATATGTATATTAGTATATATTAGTATATTATATTAGTATATATGTATATTAGTATATATTAGTATATATATTAGTATTATATTAGTATTAATATAAAATAGCCTTTATTAAATAGCTATCGATAATAAATCAAATTTTGAAAGGAAACATAGATACTTTTTCTTTTCCTATTTGAAAGTCGGTTAAAAATGATGAAGATTCATATTAATATATTTATTTATTTCACGCAAAAGTTGCGGTAAAAGGATTTTTTAATGAATAATAAGAACAGCTATTAGTATAATATTAAAAACATTATGGTTTTTAATGAGTACATGATACTGTACCGTTCCCGTGCGCGAGCAGGTTGGGCCTGGGCGGCGGCGCGGCGAGGTCCAGCGACTCGGCGCGCCCGAACGTACGCAGGTGCAGCGCGCACCCCCCCGCGCCCGCCCCCGCCCCCGCCCCCGCACTCGCCCCCGCGCCCGCGCCCGTGCACCCGCCCGCCATACTGAACGTAGCGTACGGGCTTATCTCGTGCAGGTCACCTGCATCACGATATCATCATCGTCAGCCTTCTCACGTCCGCATTAATGGGACCGTGGCTCGTGAGCCGAATTTGTAGGTAGATAACGAATACACACGTAGCGGGGACCGATGACTTCACACACCTTCCGAAGCTCGGTGAAACTCGACTGGGACTCGACGTAGCAGATTGTAGGTCGACTTACCGAAGACCGGCCTTTGCAAATTTTACTTAAACTTTCGTTCGCAGACCACTAACCGGCTGCCTCCTCCGGCCTCGATATCGAAGAACGAGTATGCTTAGCGAAAGATTCCTTTAGCCCTTTCCAAATAATTTACGGTATATGTATGGACGATGCCGTTCTTCGTTAAACAAAATTATTGAAGGTATTTTAAGGAGAAATTAAAATGATACACCTGCAATCCAAGTGTACGTCACCTTCGGGCGGTGTGAGCGCCTTGCCGTTCCTCTTGCCCGGTTCGGTGGTGTAGAGCTGCGGCAGCGCGCGCGGCGGCGGCGGGGAGCGCGCCCGCGCACACGCCGCCGCGCGCCGCCGCGCCGCCGCCACGCCTGCGGCACACGGGCCTCGGATATAACGGGCTATATGTACGTCTTTAGTGAGGCTCCCTAACATTTTCATAATTTATAATATTGTTTATATACTAAGATAAACTTTTATTTTTATTTATACACATAGTATTGTGAATGCGAAATTTATCAAAAAATTTCATAGTAATACAAGTAACTCATTTAACATCGTCAGTTCTAAAACATCGATAAGCTGCAAAATAACAACAAAACTCAAACATAAATAAACTAATGTAATAAATACATAAAAGAATATTTGAACCTGTAATTAACTTATATCCTAGAAGTGACGCATTGGTTGTTACTTTTTCATGTTAAATTTATGAAAATTAATTACCTGACAATAAGCTATAGATTAGTAATCAGATTTAAATTCCAGCTTATATATTTTTTTTCCTTCGGTGTATATCTACGCAACTCACCCGCAACTGCAGCGAGAAGTGCGGCGAGTCCTGCTGCGAGCATGAGCGGCGCCAGCGACGCGGACCACGCCGCCGACGCGCCGGCCCCCGCCCCCGCCCCCGCCGCACCCCCCGTCCGCCCGCGAGCTTCCAGTGGCATCTCTACCGGCTCCCCGAGCCGTTCTATTTAAAATGCGCAATTACCTAAGAATTGTCCGCAACGCGATTTTGTTTCTCGCGAATTAATTTTGTACCACATTGAATGTATGGGTATATCTTGAATTTATGGATAAGAAATCGCGTTCACTAAACTAGCGATTTGTGCGATTACTCAGTCGTGCATCAGCACTAGTGGTGGAAAGAAGTTACGCGATTCGTCTCCCGTCTACTCGGCGGCCGCCGAAAATAACGAAATTGATATTAAAATGTTTATAATAGGCCTCCCCTATGGGACAAATTTCAGGCAAACTACCATGGTAGGCAAGTGAAAATGAGGTTGTAGGAAGAAAAATAATAATAATAACATTTTATTTCAGACTTTTTTTTACAGACATCCATAAGTTGTTAGTTGTAAGTAACAATAAGATTTTATTCTATGTTAGTACTGTTAGTAAATTAACATCTTAGACATAAGGCCAGCTCCACCCAATGTCTTTGTATTGGGCAGTCTGGTCGTTCAGCAATCGCTGTTAGGATACCGTTCCGACTATAACGCAAGCGTTGCAGTAACGAAGCCGCTTTCCGCGAGAACACACCAATAATTCTTATCAAAAATGAGGCGCAAGTTCAACATCTTCTGCAGGGATCCTGACTAGTTCATTCTTCTTACATAATTAATACTATTATTTTTTGCTACTTTGTATACTTAAGTTATGTTATAAATATACACATACATTCAGAACACACTCACACATGCTCAATTAAAATAAATCATGCCAATAAAAATTCATACGCTATATGGAAATGTTACATAAATAGGATATTGCCTAAAACTACCATTAAAACTAAATACATTACTTGTATCACAAATGTTACTTGTACCATATGTAATACTAGTTTACCTAACACGAGTCAATTAAGACTTAAGACCACTACTTATTTGATCTACTATGGATATATTTTCACAAAATTATAAAGAAATAGATAGTGTTGAAATTGCACAAGCTGTTGATTGTGATATAAGTGAAGTGCCAAATTACGTTAAGAGAAATTGTGATCTATCTATCATTACACAAAATATACGAAGCATCTATTGCAATATAGACGACTTTCGGGTAACTTCAACACTGCTTACTTTTGATGGCGATATAATAATCTTAACCGAATGTAGATTAGACCCCAATAAAAACATTCCTCATGTTACAAACTACAACGCTTTTGTCTCGACAAACCATATTAATCAAAATGATGGAGTAGTAGTCTATATAAAATACTGTCATGAGGCTGATGTGAAGGAAATCAACTTACAACATGCTTCATGCCTACAGATTACTATATATAATTTTGTTATCTTGGGTATATATCGCTCTCCATTAGTCAAAAATGCCGATGTATTTATTAATTTACTTAACGACCATCTATTTGCCATGCACACTTATCAAAACATAATTGTGACTGGTGATATAAATATAAACTTGATACCAAAATATAATGAAAGTTGCCAGGAAAGAGATAACCGCTTCAATTACCTCAACATGTCAGCCATGCATGGTATCTTACCTGGTCACTTATTACCCACCAGAGAAAAAAGCTGTCTTGACCATGTTATGTTGAAAATGGATACTAATAGAAAAGCAGCCTTTATAGCTATTATAGATGCTTCTGTTACAGATCACGCAATGGTACTCACAATTATTTCTGATGTAATAAACACTAAAAAATCATATTTTATGAAAACTAAGACAACAACTGACTATGACCAGGCTCTAAATACTCTAAAAGCATCTCATATCAATTCTTTGTTAGAATGCAGTGATCCAAATTACTTAACTGACAGAATAATATCGTTAATAAAAGAGTCTTTGGCAACGAGTACTAAAACAACTAATATAAGTAGCAATAAACGTATTAGTAAGCCATGGATCTCGACCGGAATTCTAAGGTGCATTAAAAATAGAAATAAACTACAAAAAAATCTACGTTATGGCCCAACAAATGAAATTCTTAAAATAACCTATAGAAGATACCGCAATTACCTAAACAATTTAATAAAAAAACTTAAACGAAGATATGAGAGAGAGCAACTTGAAAAATCAAAAAAGGACTCGAAAACTTTATGGTTACGTATAAATAATATAACTAATCATAAACAAAAAAGAATTCCTAATACTAATTTACTAAAAATAATGCCAACAGCCCACGAGTCAATTAATAAAGTCAATAATTACTTTTGCAATATAGGGAAAGATTTGGCGGAAAAAATTATGGCAACCATCAATATTTGTCGTTTTGACAACGAAGATGCAAACTTATTTAGAGATGAAAGCCTTTCTAATGGTAAACCAAATGCAATTATACCGCCAAATGGACTCATTTCTTCATCACAACTAACATCATTCGTTTTACTAGAAACAAATCACAATGAAGTATATAATGTACTTATGAGTCTCCGATCCGATAGCTCCTCAGGGTGGGATAATATTCCCTCTAGATTTTTAAAACTAGCGCACAAGTTACTTGTACCAATCATTTGCCATTTAGCTAATCAGTGCTTCAAAACAGGTATTTTCCCTACAAGTCTAAAACAAGCAACTATAACACCTGTTTACAAGAGTGGTGATAAAGATAATGTCAGTAACTACCGACCAATATCAGTTTTGACGACCCTATCTAAAACTATAGAAAAACTAATCAATACTCGACTGGTTTGCTACCTTGACAAATTGAATATCTTGAGTGCTTCGCAATATGGGTTTAGACGGGGTTTATCGACTGAGGATGCAGTTACAGCTATAACATCTTTGATAGTTAAACATGTAGATGACGGTAAGAAATGTCTTACAGTATTTTTAGACCTTAAAAAGGCCTTTGACACGGTCTCGGTTCCTACTCTTATACGCAGGCTAAGCCAATATGGAATCAGAGGTACTCCTCTTGAACTTATGACGAGTTATATGCTGGGTAGGAAACACCAGGTTAAGTTGGGAAACTACACTAGTGAATTAGTCAACATTACTTATGGTGTCCCACAGGGAAGAGTCTTAGGCCCAACATTGTTTTTGGTTTACATAAATGAACTCTGTAACCTGAAATTTCATAACGCAAACATTTTTTCTTATGCAGATGACACAGCTATAGTATTTTTTGGAGAATCATGGGATGAAGTAAGAGAAACAGCAGAAATGGGATTATGTACAATTGCACACTGGTTAAATCTAAATCTTCTCACATTAAATGTTGATAAAACCAATTATATATGTTTTACAAAAAATAAAAGAACTCAACCTAGAGATAATTTTCATATTAAAATACATAACTGTGGAAACCCACAAAATATGGAATGCTCATGTAACTATATTAAAAAGGTGAGTTCAACTAAGTATTTAGGAGTCGTAGTAGACCAGAATCTGTCATGGCACTTACATTTGGAACTGATTATAGGAAGAATAAGAAAACTTACGTGGATTTTCAAAAAGCTCAGACACATCGCAAACAGAGAACTTTTAAATAAAATATATGATGCTTTGGCACAGTCCATATTAATATATTGTATTCCAGTTTGGGGTGGAGCGAATAAACAAAATTTTTGGAAATAGAAAGATCACAAAGGGCATTGCTCAATGTTATGTATTTTCTGCCATACAGATTCCCTACTGAACAACTATACATTTATGCCGATCTCCTGTCTGTTAGAAAACTCTATATTCTTTATTCTTTACTTAAGCGGCATAAATCTGAATAAAATCGCGATGCAGACAGTCCCTTAGATATAAAAGAAAAATATTATATCCATATCATTGAATCAAATAGAAAAACTAAAAAAATATGTTTATTATTAAAAATAAATTACCTCCATCGGCAGTGTGCGTTGCAGCGCGATATAGTGCCGCAGTGTCCCCGGCAGCAGAACGGGCGACCACGCGTATCTCGTACCAAGTACCCGGGCGAAGATTGTTAGCCTTCATAGAAATTATGACTAGTTTGATGATCGGCAAACTAAAAATTAGTCTACGTATTCTCGAGAACACTCGCTACTTGCACTATGCTAAAGGATGACCGATATAACGGAAAGAAAAATTAAACTATTATTGAGAACGATCGCGCAGTAAAATAATTTTTAAGTTGTTATCTGTAATCGAGAATTACTATAATTGTGATCGACCAAAGCGGGGGACTAAAGTAGGCTGTACCGATGCGCTTTCTCCGTCGGCGAGGAGGTCGGTCCAGGCGGCGAGCGCGTCGTCGGCGGGCCGCAGCGCCACCGCCCACGCCCCCACGGGGCAGCGCGCGCGCCACGCCAGCAGGTTGAGACGCAGCGACGAACTGTTCGCCCACACGAATTCTTTTGCCGGAGCCGCCTTCGCCTCTGCGCACGTAATAGCTCGGTCGCTTAATATTATAGTGATATAGTATTTTTCATCGATAAACAATCGACGAGTTTTAACGTCGATCTACAGTTTTGTCAAAATTTCCTATACACCGAGCGCCGCAAACTCGAGCCAGAAAGGTGCTCGGTTTTAACTATCCGACAACGTCGGTCGGAGCCGTCGTATGCGGTCAGGTCATAAGTCATACTAAAGATTTGACTCGAAAACTGCAACTCGTTCGGGGACATCGCAACAGATTTATTTCTTTTGCTTTTCATAACGGTCATTTCAGTATCGATGTGTAAATGGAAGCGCACTGACTGTCGCCGAGCGTGCGCGCCAGCAGCGGCGGCGAGCGCGGCGACGCCCCCAGCGCGTTGTGCGCGGCCACGGCCAGCCGGTGCAGCGCCCCGCACGCCAGCCCCCGCAGCGCCGCGGCCCCCGCGCCCCCCGCGCCCCCTCCGCCCGCCACGGCCACGCTGCGCTCCGGCCCCGCGCCCGCCTCCGCCACCGCCGCCCACCACACGGTGTAACCTGACCGAGGAGCGTGAGGTTGCATGAACGCACTTTTGTATCTGTGTTGAGGTATCATTTGAAATCAACCGGAGCGAGCCGCAGACCTAGTATGGGTGCGCCGTTGCTGTCGGGCGGGTCCCACGCGAGGTGCAGCGCGTGCGCGGCGGCGCGCTGCAGGCGGGGCGCGGGGGCGGCGGGGGGCGCGCGCAGGCGCAGCGCGAACTGCACCGCGTCGGAGCTGCCGCCGCTCCCGCGCACCGTGCACGTGTAGTTGACGTTCGCCTCCGCCTCTGTTGCAGCGTTTGTTATATGTCTAACGATACCATAACATCGGAGAAATTTGTCCTAGTGCGAATCTCACTTGCAAATACATATGGAAGATTGCCGTTATCTTGTAGCAATATTGTTTTATCGTGTAAACTGAACAGTAATCAATTTTTGAATTGGAAAAAATTGAAGGCTTCGTATTATACCTACATACCCGCACTTAATATGAAAATCGAAACGAAAAAATGAAATAGGCTTGCCTTTTTACCTCCTTTTTAAAGGAGGGTAATGTGTTTATCGGTCTATGTATGTATGTATGTTTGTTTCTATGTGGCGTTCTAGAGACCGAATGCGTAGGCCGATTTTGATAAGTCTTACGTCAATCGATTCGTCTTAACCTTGCGAGTGTCACTAAAGACATGACAGTAATCAAAATTCACCACAGCGACGACCAGACGCCATATTGTCATAATGAAAAAGAAAAAAGTCGATGAACTATGTCAAGTGGGGTGTCGTTGAATAGGTATTTTAAAATCATCTTTAGGTTTCTTTTATCATTTTTCATTTAAAATAATAGTGTATAGATTATAAAACTATTTCAATTATGTAGTTATTTAGTATTACTTCACAGAATTCTAAAGTACTGGGCTTGTTTTTTTTTTTAGTTTTTATTTAATTTTTTAAAATTCGTTTTTACGCTGTCGGGTTTTTTACGGTTTTGATGTTTTTATTACAGCAAACATTTACAGTTAGTAGATAAAAAAATATTTAGTAACTAAGTTCGTAAACCTAAATACGTTTTAATACATGTCGTAAATGGGTTTTCTGGTAAAGTAATTTAAATTATAGTCACATTAGTTAATAATTTTTTGCGGTTCCTAAAATTGACGGGCGGTGTAGGTGTCCCAGTTTGCCCCAACTCATAATTTCATACATACTCGGTGGAACAAAACGACCGACATTCCGGAGGTTCCTGGAGAGTACTATTTGCCTTTAATATGGTGTAAAAAAAAAATTATGTCTGGGTCAAATAGTTTCGGAGATATTAAATTACAAAGTTTTTGGAAAAAATGAGTGTTTTCAACCCTGAGTCAGCAGTTTTTGGGACGTACTAAGGAACAAGTTTTTAATCGGTCATTGACTCCTTCATTTCTAAAAACGAAATAAACTAGTTTATGATTTATAAGACTGCTTTTATGCAAATTCTACCAGACAATCACTAAACAAGGCAGTCAAAATGCTTAAATCAATTAACAGACTAACAGCCGGTTTCTGATTTAACAAAAGTAGATAATCTCTACTGATTATTCTCAATTACCTACTTTTTTTTATTTCGCAAGTCAAATAGTCCTAGTTTTATCAAACTGCTATCATCTGATCATCAAAAAACAAAAATCGTAAACGAAAACTAAGTAATGTTAGTTAACTGTTTTTTAACAATTTCAAACTGACTATCTCTAAACGAATCAGTCAAAATGCTGAAATTAATTAATAGACTAACATTTAATAAATTATTGTAAAAAGATTATTCTAATGTTAACTAATTTACATAACGTTACTACATTATTTCTAATAGTCAGAGTTTCCAAAAAAAATTAAATAAATGGATAAAATAACACGATCATTTATTAAAGTAGTTGAACTAATACATCATCCATTAACATAACAACACTAAGTAAGGGTTTGGTTATTTATTTAAAATGTATTTAAAAAGAAAATGCGCATGCGCGTCATAGGGCTCTCAACACTTGGAAATTAAAATTTTTTTTCTCCATTTTTACACCTCCTCTATTTTGAAATATTTGTCAAATAAAATGAACGTTTGCATAAAACCTAACTTGAAACTTTCGGCTGTGTCGGTCATTTTGTTGCTGTATATATTGAAATATATATATTTAAAAAAATATATACCGGGTGTTACAAAAATACCCGTTATAGCTGAAGGGTGTTGAAGTATATCATATAAACAGTACTCTGCCAAATTTTCAAAACCTTTGCATTAACTTTTAACTTTCAGTAAAAAGGCTAATTTTTAATAATTATTAAATACATCGAGTGTGCTATGTCACATCACTATTTTAGGTTAATGACCTTACCAGGAGTAATGGCACACTACCTATCTCCTATGTTTTCTAATTTTTTTTTTCTATTCTCCTAGTACACACCCATACATACACACTAAGAATGAGAGAGAAAATATACTTAAAAACATGTCTGCGTTTGCCAATTTACACAGTAAATACTTAACCTATTTCGATCGAAAATAAAATGAAAAGAAATTAAATAGGAATCAAATCATTGGCAAAATGGTATGGTAACCGACGCTGTTCAGCCGGTAGTCTAATTTCAGTAAAAAAAATTATAATACATATTATTATCAACGCGCACATCATTTCATAGCATCGTTTCCGACTCAGCTGTTTCTGAATTACAGATCAAACACCATTTTAAGTAGTACCTATTTATGATAGATAGGTAAAATTTATTTAAACACTGATATACGAGTCTAACTTTTAGTTCATACTTTAATGGTCCGACAAATCTGATTGATATTACGATAATAAAAAAAAAATGATATGCGACATAATTCACAAACGATTTTGGCGTATTTAAAAATAAATATTTGCGAATTACTATTTGTACTTTACCTTTTCACTTCCTTATTCACTGTTTAAGCATTACTTGTGAGGTTCTCTCACCTACACTTTATTAGGCACTTAATTTTATTCCACAAGAAAAAACTAAAGATCGCGGCCAACCTCTGGTTCACTGACGTTTCAGTATAATTACATCTTTTCAAAATAGTCTCAATTTATATCAATACAACACTGCATCCCATGTAACACTGATAAAAGCACTTTTCAACTCGGAATTAGAGAACACGGACATTTTCGAAACGTGATCACATCGACGACGTATGAACAACTGAATAAAGAAAAAGTGATAAAAAGGGAAAGCCGCCAATTTGAGTCCTTTATTATAAGCCGCTGCATAGTGTGCGGCATGTCAAAGGCGCACAGAAAGGTACCTATAGTTCCGCAATTAAATCTGAGAAGTAGCGGGATAGGGTTGCCATCTTCTCTTATTAGATCGGAAATTTTGTCCTTAAAGCCGGACTAAGTCAAATCTCTCGCGAAGCCGTAAAACAATATTACCGTAGTAGACAGTAATATTAGTTCACGGCTTCGCGAGGGTTACTGCCTAGTTATTCAGAGGGTGCGTTAAGCAAAAATCACTAACTTTCAATTGATTTTGTAGTAAGACGTAACATACAAATAAGCGGTAATTAAAGATAAGATAACTACATCATAATTTTAACGCTTTTATCACAGCCAAAACGTGAATTCATAAAATAAGGCTTGATCGTAACATCAAAACTGCACAACCTATTTTGAAAAAGGTTTTTTTTATAAAGTAATTTCGGAGACTATACGATGCAAACAAACTAACGATTCGTATTCAAATTTCGCAAATGCCCGTTCAACACTGCGTCTTTTTGGGTATTTGGGTATTTGACATTTTTCAAATTTGTGTGTATTCATAGTTTATTTGATATAGCTTCAGCACAGGTATACCAAAAACCTATGAAAACTATACCGCCGGACATGTGACATTAACATTTAGCTGCACACAATCTAAAAAGTCAAACATGTCCCGCTAAAGACGGATAGATGACAACCCTAGACAGGCGGCAATGTTAAAGTTTGAGCCTAAACTTCTAGTTGCCTAGTACCGAGGTTATCAACATTTTATTGTACAAATTAAAAAAATCGTCGCAGGACATTGTTGCAACTAATTATTTTACATACGTACGT